AATATGCATACCAGCATTATTCACAATAGTCAAAGGGTAGAAACAACCCAAATGTCTATCAATGGTTGGATAAGTTAAACAAAAGGTGGTATATCCGTATGATGGAATGATATTAAGCCCTGGAAAACAATGAAATACTGATACTGGTGACATGGATGTACCTTAGCAATGTTATGGTAAAGAAGCTAGACTAAAAGGTCATATATTATATGATTCCATTTATATCAAATATCCTGATGAGGCAAATTCAGGGAAACAGAAAGCACATCAGTGTTTCCCAGGGGCTGAGGGAACAGAGGAATGAGACGTGATTGGTTAGTGCTTAGTTTCGAGTGATGGAAACATTTTAGAGTTAGAGGTGGCGATTGTACACTTTATGAATATCCTGGGGTCTACTGAAATGCACGTTTTAAAATAGTTCGTTTTATGTAATGTGAATATGCCTTAATAAAACAAATTGCACTTATATGTCAAATAATATTGATTTGTATTCTTCAACATTAAATACATTGTTTTATTTGAAGCTCTTTCTGTTTTGTTAATGTCTTCATATTTATTTTGCTGCTGATAATTTCTGTTACAATGAAAATATATATTATTTACAGATTTATGAATATCTGTTTAATCTTTTATTTATGAGAGTAACATTGAGATACAAGTGTGGTCACTGGGCTCTAGTGAGATGAGAGAGGAATGAGGCAGGGAAGAGGCAGAGCAGGGTCATTGGGGCAGAACCAGGTGCTTACCTGTGCCTGTAGAGAAATTGAAGGTCAACGGCCCATCGGGCAGGTTCTTGCTCAGTCTTCTCAGGGCATCCTCCAGGCCAACCAGCAGGTGAGTGGCCACACAGTGCTGCTGTGAGCGGGGCAGGGTCTCCAGATCTCCAGGGGTCTCCAGCAGCTCATCCACCAGCTGTATGAGGTCCTGGAGGTATGGGGACATGGAGCTAGTGAGGCGCAGGCCCGAGGGGTGGCACGATGACCTTGACCACTCAGGCTCTGAGAACAGACTCCAGAGATGGCCTATTTTGGGGGCAAAGGTGGCACTGGATGAGATTCTCTGGGGAATCCTTGCCCCTGGAAAATAGCCCCTTAGAAATCAGTCTTCTTTTGACATATCAATAATGACATAATCTTGATGTGCAGGAGCAGCAGGAGGAAAGATGGTAATAGCCTAACAGTGTGTACAACAACCAGTGTCCAATCTTCCACTAGCCCTGGGAAAGGCAGGATTCTGACCTAGGAGCCTGATGTGTTGGGGGCTGTCTCCTTCAAGACCCAAAGCACTGCCATTCTCTGTGGAAGGCTTTTACAAACTGCCCTTACCTTGATGGTGTCATTGGCTGAGTCAGACTTGAAGTCTCTGCCCAGATCCTGAATTTTCTCAAAGAAGGCAGAGAGACTCTTGGGAGAGGAAAGAAGAGAGGGTTAGGCCTTCTCTAGGGTGGCTGGAAAGCTCAGAATAAATCCTGGTGCTGTGTGGAGGCATTTCCTGCCCCCTGGTCCCTGCTGGGGCCACTCACCTGGCTGTTGACACCTGGGGGCAGGGTCCAGTGGATGAAGGGCATCTCTGCAGGGAACAGGACAGTGGCATGTTAGGTGTGTGAGTGTCTGAGTGTGTTGGGAGGGTGGAGGTTGTGGGGTCAGAACATACCTTCACAGACAGGGCCCTTTTGGGTGTTTGGGACCCTCGCTTTCGGCTTCCAGCCCGGGCGGCAGCGGCATGTGTATGAGCCCAGTGTATTGACGCAGACAGCAGACTCGTGGCATGGATGCTGCCCGGAGCTGCACTCATCCATATCTGGGGGACCAAACAAGGGGGTTAGGCCTTGTCCTAGCCCAGAGGGGTGGCCCCTCTCTTATATACGCCCCCACCGCACTCCTCTCAGTGATAATGACCCCCTTGGAGAGGCAGAAGCTGGGTTGTGGCAGGTGCGGAGAGGCCTGAGCACAGCAGGTGGGCCCTGTCCAGATGTGCAGCTGTGGAAATACTGAGAGGCCTTTCTCCCAGTTAGGAATCAGCTGCTGCCAGGGGCCCCCGAGCCTCCTCCTTGGCACCCAGCTCTTTCCCTGAGACCCCCAGATATTTTCATATCCAGCCTCCAAACCGGCCAGGCACAGCATAGTGGCTCCAGCATTTATTCTGCTTGGTTTGTAGGGGGGCCACTGAGTGTGCAATTGGAAGTTTGGCAGTGGGTCTCTGGCAATGTAGGGTCTGGATTACAGACCTTCACAGATGGTGTTGTTTGGGCCATTAGGAGACCTGGGAATCGGCTTCCAGCCCGGGATGCAGCGGCACTCATAGTTGCCTACTTTGTTGAGACAGTGGGTGGAGTTGTGGCAAGGGTTTTTTCCAGAGGTGCATTCATTCACGTCTGAGGACAAAGCCAGAGGGTCAAGCCCTGCCCCTGACCAGCTCAGATCTCCCTTCCCTGCACTGCACCTACAGTTCCCTAGGCCAATGTCCTTATTGAATGTGCTGCCACTTGGTGACCTTCAACTTCATGAGTGGACTCCCTGCAAGATGCGCACAGCAGGGACCTTGTTGTCTAGTTTATAAAAAGAGAAACGACGAGGGAAGCTGAGTAACAGGGGCTGTACTTCCTGACCAAGCACTCTTGCCTGTGCCCTTCCTACCCATGCTGTGGTTCCCCTTCTCAGAACTGGAAGTGATGCCTTCTTCTACTTGAATGTGACAGATGAGGAAGGGGTGAAGCCTGGGGGCTTCACAAAAGAATTCCAGACTCAGAGAGACCACCACCTCCCTGTCCTGTGTCAGGACTTTCCTGGGAAGCAACTCCTTAGGCAGGGTAGTAGGCCATTGACCTTGTGGGAAACTGGGTCTTCTCCCTCCTCCGTGACTCCAGCCTCATTGGGCCTCTACCTGTGCACGGCTTTGGGGCCATCGGGTTGAACACAAAGCCAGGTGGGCAATGGCAGGTGTAGCTTCCCAGGGTGTTGGTGCAGATGCCTTGGCCTTCACAAATTCTGGGGTTCTGCTGACATTCATCCACATCTGCAAGAGGAAGGACACCATTCGTGGCTGGAGGCCAGCCATGTTTCCTGGCACAGAAGCATCCAGAAAGCACCATTGTCACCTCCCTTTTCCAAATGCACTCAGAAACATGCTATGGAAAGATTGATGGCCTAGGCCATTCATTATCTTCATGCAGCTGGGAGCAGCTCAGGTCCTCCCCATCTTCTCTCCTAACTGAGGCAAAGACTCTCAGCCTCCTGTGTCCCAGGATTTGAAGGAAAATCCTGGGAACTGGCTGCAGGGCAAAGGTTACATTCCAGAGCAGGACCCCATCTTGGTTCTTAGTGGCATCCTTTGGGAAGATTCCCCCAGGTGACTGTTTGCTGGCCAAGTTCTCATGGGAATCCTTAGAAAGGATTCCGTGGCCTTAGCAAGATAGCGCTCTCCCCTTCACACTGAGAGCCCAGCTGCATGGGGATGGCCTGAACCTGACCCTGAGCCAGGTCTCCTGGGATGAGGTCCAAGAGCTCTATTGCCATCTACCTGCAGAGAGCCCAGGAGGGACAGGGCTGGAACCAGAACCACAGGCTCTTTTCTTTTATAGCAGTGAAGGTCTGCTGACTCTCCTCAGACTCTCTTTAGACCCACAACTCTGGCTCAGCCTTCTTATCTCCTGCCTTTCCTTACTTTTCTTTGGGCTAATTTTCTTTTTCTGGGCAAGTTGTGGCTTTGCCCACCTCTTACTGGCTCCCATCTGGCCTTGCAGATGCCTGAGGCCCTCCTTGGAAAGGGGGCAAAGCCTTGTGATGCATGGGGGCCTGGCATCTCCTGGGCTGGCACCATAATGTGGGGCAAAACCATGGCAAGGATGGAGCAGGCTGGGTGCAAAGAGCTTTCTTCTAAGTGCCAGTCGCAGAAATAACCCCCACAGGGGCCCAATCTTTTGGGGAGAATACTGAAAAGGATATATCACATAACAAATTTTTGAAACATTAAGATGCATATAGCACCTACTATGTGCCAGGCTCTGTTAAAAGAACTTACAATTTCCTTGATGCTCCCAGAGATAGGCACTGGTATTGTCACCCTTATTTTATAGGTGGGTAAACCAAGGGTCCAAGAGAGATAGTGATTTTGCTAATATTATGTAGTTAACAGGTAGCAAAGCCAGGATTTGGACCTGGGCAGCTGATCCTAGAGTCTGTCCTTGGCCTCTATGATACTCTTCCCACTCTGTGCCAGTGGGACAGGTACATGACACTTGTCCTACTTCAAACTGAGCCCCCCCAGGTGTAACCAGGGTTTTGCTCTACTGGATGCTGTAGGAATAGTTCTGGTGAACCCAGGTCTCATGAATGGGGAGAAGGAGGATGTGGATGGAGCTTACCTTGACATGTGTTCTCACTCTCATTCTGGAAACGTTTAGCCCCAGAAATGAGCCCATATCCCTGGACGCATTCGCAGTAGTAGCTCCCTTTCATGTTATGGCAGTTTGCGAATTTTCCACAGTACACCCCTGTATGCGATGTACACTCGTTGATGTCTGGAACCAACAGGGCAAAGAGTCACCTCCTAAGGGTATGTGTTCCCTTATAGAAGAAACTCTGCTTTTTTTTTTTTTTTTTTTTTTAGGCAGTGTCTCACTTTGTCACCTAGGCTAGAGTGTAATGGCATCAATTGTCAAGGAGGTATCTGTACTTCCATGTTAACTGCAGCATTATTCACAATAGCCAAGATATGGAATCATCTTATCTCTTTTATCTGTTCATCAATGAATGAACAGATAAAGAAAATGTTGTATACTGCCATCCCTCTGTATGCAAGGGGGATTTGGTCCAGGACCCTTTCCTCCTGCCCCCCATGAGGTTATCAAAATCCACAGATGCTCAAGTCCCTTATACAGAATGATGTAATACTTGCATGGAACCTATGAACACTCTACTTAGAATATCCCCTAAAATTTAATGCTATGAAAATTGTCATACTGCATTGTTTAGAAAATAATGACAAAAATAAACTGCACAGGTTCAGTATACACACAACTGCTCATTTAATTTTTTGAAAATAGTTTTGATCCACAATGAGTTGAATCCACAGATGTGGAACCCATAGCTAGAGAGAGTCAGCTGTTTTTACACGATAGAATATGATTCAGCTTCACAAAAGAAGGCAATACTACCATTTGTGACAACATGGATGAACCGTAAGTGGAACAAGCCAGGCACAAATACCACATGATCACACACTAAA